TTCTCCGAAGGCCTGGCTTTTGCCGTTGCCTCCGAAAGCTGCCACTCTGAGGGCCAGTCCTGGCTCCATGCCCTCCACTCTTGCCGTGCTACCAGTGACCTCACCCTCCTAGCACTGAAGATCCCACGTGCCCAAGGCTCTTACGTGCCCAAATTCCAGCTCATACCCAGAGGCCCACCCCAGAATCACAAACCTAATGCCCCTCTCTCCCGAAAGCTCAGCCTCCACGTATGTGTCCCCCACCTCCCACCTTCTTGAAAATTCTGCCACAACCCACACACTCCTTCAGCTCACTGCCCCGCCTGTGCCCCCTCGCCTCTGCTCCGGGCACTGGCCACATCAGCTTCTCTGGTCCCCAGCGGGCTACTCAGGGTGTTTGAATCATGGATCCTTCTGCCTGGAGCCTGCTGTTCCCTGCAGCCGGGGTGCTCCCTTGCTACCCTGGCCCACGTTTGGACAAGAGGCCAGATGTGGACCCCATGCCACTCCCTCCCAGGTCCCAGTCAGAGCCTGTAATATCACTGTCCAATCACATGCCGTGTCCCCCCGGGGTCCCAGGCTCTGAGCTCTTAGCCCTCTGGGATAAGGACGTGTCAGTTATCTCTGTGTCCCTCATGGTGGGACAGGAAGGACATTCAGGCCCATGCAAAGGCCTGCGCTCAGCAGCATGACTGCAGAGACAGCTCATCAGCAGCAGGAGGGTGTGGGGTGGCTGGGGCACGGTAGCCGGGGCTGAGGGCCTCTTCCGGTCCCTGGAGGGAGGAGCATAGCCTTTATCCAGGGGGCCACAGCGGCATGGTCGCATCTGAAGCCTTAGGAAAGCCTTAGGAAAGGTCTGAGTAGAGGCAGGAAGTGGCCTCTGGCCGAGATCGCCTGTGCCTGGCCTCAAGGCCATCCGCTTTCCCACAAGATTCTTGGCCATGGTTGTTCAGGCCACTGTGAGCTTTTTTATGAGGCTGGAGGTTTGTAAAACTTATTAGTCGGTGGAAACTTGCGGGCTGCCGGCCAGCCCTCTGTGGTGGTGTCGGAACCCTGCCCGCAGGACACCCACGTGGCCTCTGGCAATGGGGGGAGGCGGAGAGAAGGGGACCCCAGTTCAGGGGTGGTCATCCTCAGCTTCCCACAGACAGGCGTTCTCAGCAGGTACTGGAGGGAGGGGCTGTCACCTCGCACCCACCGGTCCTCGGGACACTCAAACCAGCGTCATGAACACTTGGAAGCCTCTGGGTTGGGGATCAGGCTGGTGGCAGTGCAGGAAGGGAGGACCATCCCCAAACAACGTGGCCTTTACCACAAAGGAACAACCCTGGGTTGTCTACTGGACACAGGTTCAAATCCCTGGTCTGCTGCCACCTAGCCATGTGACTTGGGACAAAGGCAGTAAGATTCCTGGTGAATATCCTCTGGTCCCAGGCTCTGAGCTGAGCTCTCACATAAACAAAGTCAGTTGTCAACAGCCTGTAAGGAGGCCACCGTTATCGTCTCCCCTCTAAAGCACACCCCCTCTGCAAGAGAAGAAGAGCGTGGCACCCACTTTCTTGTGTCACAAGAGAGACACTCGCCAGCACCTGGTACACATTAGCCGCCCTGTGGACACGAGCTCTTTCCTTTCCCACCACAAGGCCCTCCTGGAGCTGGCCGCCCCTCTCTGCCTTGCTGGGGAGTTCCCTCAGCGGGAAGGAATGTGCAGGCCCAGCAATCTCTGGAAACACCCAGAGTCTGCAGAACGTGCTGGACGCGGTCAGCTGTGTGAGATCTTGGCCCCCAGGCCTCTGGACGCACTGGATTCCCTGGAACAGTTAGCAGGACACAGGGCAAAGGCCTTTCTCCTTCTGTCGGTAATCAAGACCATCTGAGGACCCACGGGACGCTCACATTCTACCTTCCCTGCCTTGGCTGAGGGCTGAGAGGGCCTCAGGAAGGGCGGAGGGAGGAGGGAGAGTGGATATAGGCCCGTCTTTTGGACTAGATGGAGGAACCGTGTGCTTGCTGGCAGGCTGCTGGCAGAGGTCAGGAGGTGTGGCTCTCCCCTGAGCCCTGCCATGAACTGTGTAACTTTTAGCCAGGCCTTGTCCCTCTGGGCCTCAGTTTCCCCAAGCTGGATGTGTCATCCCCCTGCTTCATTCACAATTACCACCAGAAAGACCAACACCATGCTGCAAGACTCAACAGGGTGATGGATCAATCAGGAAAAAAAAAAAAAAAAAAAACACCACAGATCACCTAGGGCTCAATTAACAGAAGCATGGTATTCATAGCTGGGGAGGTGAGAGTCGGCTGCAGACTGTACCTAGGCACTAACACTCAGTTCTGGGAGAAAATGACAACTGATGCCTGTTCAGGAGAGGGCACTGAGGTGGGTCTTGCAAGGAACAGATAGGAGAAGCCCTGAGACTTGGTTTGGAGGAAAGAGGCCCAGAAGGTCATGATTGCCACCTCCAGATGTGCTGTGGCCCAGGAACAGTACTGAAAAGCCCTAAAACCCTTTCCTAGCTATGAGAGCTCCTCCATAAAGGAATGGAAGTCCAGTGAGGTAGTGAGCTCTCTAGTCCCAGAGGTAAGCAAGTCACCGGGTGGGCATCTGGGACCTTGTGAATGCCCCAGCAGCCTGGCTGGGCTTACCCTGAGGGGCTAAAGGAAGTGGTTGGGCCCTTCGGCGCCGTGGTTCATGAAGCCTGCAGTGTCCCTCTTGGGGAAGGGGCCACTGATGTTTCCCAGCCATGGAAGTGCCTGATAGACCTCACAGATGCTTTGATGGTCCAAGCAGATACCTCTGAATGCCACATCCTTGGGCTCCAGGCTGCGAATGCAGGAGAGGGGACTTCTTGCACCCTGTCGAGACCTCAGGTCCCTCCTGGCTTTCCTGCTCCAGCCTAGCAGCTCACCAGACCCAATGTCACCGACATAGGGTGGTTCTTAAGACCTTGCCTGCCACCTCCCCACAGCATTCCTGTCTCTACCCTCCTCCAGATGCTGTGCTTTGCTGACACAGGGCCCACTGCCCATGCCCCCTCTACCCATCCCCTTCCCGAGGGGCCTGAGCTCTCCCAGCACCCTCAGAGCCACCCCTGGGTCCCTCAGCGTGAGCCTTGCCCAGTTGTTCTTTCCTGGCCTGGGGGTATGGGTTTGCCTGGCTGTGGTTGTCACCTCCAGGACCCCATGGATGGGCAGGAGGACCCATCCACCCAGAAGGCTGCAGCTCCCTCCTCAGGGCCACACAAGGAAGTTGGGGCAGAGCAGATCAGGGCCCCTCTGGCTGGGGCCCTGGGCCCCAGCTCAGCATCCCCTGCTCTCCTGGCCCCAACCCCTGCCCAGCTGCCGGGGGCCTAATCCAGGCCTGTGGGAAGAGGCCCTGGGTGGAGGCGGACGTGATAAGGAAGCCGCTGGGATGCCTGGACGCTGCAGATGTGGCTCTGGGCTCCTGCCTCAGGCAGATTTGACAAACTTGCTAAACTGCAATTCTCCATGGCTTAGGAGAGCTGGGCCCCGGCCAGCGCGTGCATTATCCTCAGCAGCTGCGGGCTGTGGCGAGCCAAGGGGCGGAGGCCTGGCCAGGCAGAGGCTCCGAGGCCAGCCAGGCCTCCTAACCCTCCACCCTGAGACCCAGCGACTTTCGGGGGGTGCCGTTTCCAGAGGTGCTGAAAGGGGCTCACACATGCCAGTACCACAAAGGTCCAACTAACAAAGGATTTCCAACCAGGAAATATATTTCCCGGGATTCTGTAGACCAGAGTGGGGTGAAGGATGGCTTTGTGCTAGAGGCACGCAGCCAATGAGTGGGTACTGGAAGTTGAACCCCGCTCTCTCTGCTGGGGGCTGCACCCGCCATGCTCTGAGCTGGGCCACTTACAGGCACTTCCTCCAGCCTGGGCATGACCTTGACATTGCCTGGAGTTTCCGGTTCTAGGGGAAGGAAGGGGCCTCTCAAACCGCCAGGCCAGGCAGGAGTACAGGCTTGGGCTTCTGTGTCAGGGAGGTGGGAGCTGTGCCGCTGCGCTCCCTGGGGCTCCCAGCACCAGCAGCATGCCCGGTGGAAGGAGTATGGGCTTCACAACTTCCAACGTCTCCAGGGCAGGTTCCAGGCGGACACCCCTGGCATGAGGCTCACAGATTCTGTGGATGTTACCAAACTGGCAGTTAGTGATCCTTAGAAATGGAGGCTGTCACCTCACCCCGTGGGGTGGCGAGAGCTTCGAGAAGCCACCATGAGGATAAGGGTGGGCTCAGAGCAGGCTTGAGGAGGGAGGCTGGGCCGGGTCTTCACCCCAGAGTCTGTTTTGACACTGGAGCCTCAAGCGGAATTCTGTACTCTAGACAATAAATTTCCGTACACGTGTGCAGAGAGCAGCGTTTCTGCTGCTGGCTGCTCGTCTCCTAGAATAGCTGTCTTTTTTTTTTTTTTTTTTTAAGACGGAGTTTTGCTCTTGCTGCCCAGGCTGGAGTGCAGTGGTGTGATCTTGGCTCACCTCAACCTCCACCTCCCGGGTTCAAATGATTCTCCTGCCCCAGCCTCCCGAGTAGCTGGGATTACAGGCGCCTGCCACCACACTCAGCTAGTTTTGTCTTTTTAGTAGAGACGGAGTTTCTCCATGTTAGTCAGGCTGGTCTCGAACTCCTGACCTCAGGTGATCCACCCGCCTCAGCCTCCCAAAGTGCTGGGATTACAGGCATGAGCCACGCACCCAGCCGAATAGCTGTCTTTTAATTACACGGGAAGGTCACTAGGAATAAAGGGAGGAAAAAAAGCCGGAATCACTAGAAACTCATTTCCATGCCTAGAACCTCGAAACAAAGTAGCTGAGAGGCCAAGCAGGTCCAGGCAGGTGCTCCAGCCAGGCAGGAGCTGGAGGGGCAGGGGTGTGAGGGCCACAGTCATGGTCCCTCCACCCGCAGTGTGGTTTGACAGATTGTGGGGACTGTGAGCACCTTCCTTCCATATGGCTGAGCACCCAGGCCCCGGGCTTGGCACTGGGAACAGCAAGCCAGCAGCCTCAGCACCCTGTAAAGTCCAGGGGAGGGGGGCACTTTTGATCCCATTAATCACACAAATTTTGCATCGCAGTGTGAGATGCAGGTGAGTGCTGCAGGCCTGGAGTAGGGGAGTGTCTCCGTCAGAGAAACCACGGAAGGCTTCCCATAGGAAGCAGCACTGGAGCTTTGAGGAAAAGTGGGGAGTAACCAGGGAGCCTCTTCAGAGTCCAAGTAACTCTTCAGGATGACCCGGTCACAAAAGACTACACCCAAAGAAAAGTTGGCTGCGTTCCCAGCCAGCTGAACTGCCTCCTCTTCATCTGCACTCCTGCCTCCCCGACCTTTGTTTAGGCTATTCCCCCGCCCAGAATGCCTTTCCAGGACAGAGCTTCACCAACCTTAGTTCTGACTTTCTGAGCCACAGGGAACCACAGTTGGAAGAACCACAGAGAGGCCTCCTCCAGGGACACCACCTGAGCCTCAGCACTTTGTAGCTGCCTCTTCATCTCAGGCCAGCGTGAGCCGGGGTGAGGGTTCCAGCCCCCTTGGAGCGCCCAGCGTCAACCCCGCGTGCCGGACAGGCTCCGGAAGTGTGCTAGAAGGCAGGGTCGATATTGCCAGCTTTGGGGGGATAGTCGATAATGACTGAAAGTGAGTAAAATATTCTCCTTTCTCTCCCTGTAAGGGGAATTGGAAAATCGGATTTACTGGGCAAATTAACAAAATATGCATTCTCAGTTCAACCCCACTCCTGGGACTAGTCGCTGACTTAAAAATACATATTAAAAATACAGTGATTCATCTCCACTATGTAAAAACAACAATGTGAAGCAAATGTGCATGCATGTAGCCATGGGACAAAACCCAGAGCGAAAACGCCCAGCCTGGCCATCTGCCTGCAGCAGGGTCTTATGGGGTCTGAATTTCCTTCTTTGTGTTCATATATTTCCCACCTATTTCACAGTGAACTGATTCCTTTTAAGGTAAAGAGAAAAGATAACATTTTAAAATAAAAGAATAAGGTATCAATATTACTAATTGCAGTTTTAATGGTAAGAAGTGCCCCCGGCCCATTTCTCCTTCCCCACTTTGAAAGTGACAGGGTCTCAGGCAGCCCTGTTTCCAGGCAGACGTTTCTGCACATGGCTGCACACACGCGGGCAGGACGTTTGGTCTCCTGCTCTGTTCACTTAACATTAAAGATAAGCATCTGTCCCCACCAAGACTTCATAATTACGGTGGTTAAGGGCTGCAGCGTCTTCCTCCCAGCAGCCTGGATTCTCGCTTTAAATTCGGCGGGGAGAGCGGCAGCCTGCAGAGCTATTAGGGGGGAGTGATTGATGGTTCACTTGGAGCAAGGCTAGCTCAGCTGCACACCCCCGGGAGAGCGTGTTGGCCTTATTAATCCTGTGTACCTGTCTGGCCTGGGAAACGAGTGTGTCGTGTGCCCCCAGAAAAAGCCCTGAGCTGGCCTTCGCCCCCCAAACCCAGTGGCGAGCATCTCAGAGCCCAGCCAGGGTCCCAGCCGGGGGACCGCAGGTTGCTTGCCGTCACGCTCGTTTTGCTCCCTGGAGTTTGAAGTCCTCTCAGGGTTGATCTGTTGCACGTCTCAAGTTGGGTCCCTTGTTTCTGCGGCAGGCACTGTGGGGTGTCCTCACTGCACCCCTCATGTCAGGACCCTCCAGAAGTCCCTGTGCACACACAGCTGTAGTCAGTAGCTGCTTAACCTCTCATCCATTCCTCCACCTCTCCCCTACTAACCAAACGGCAGGCTGTGCCTTATGCAAGAGCCCTCCAGGCCCCAGAATAGAGTTCCCCAAAGGGGAGAATTCAGGAGGAAAATAGGCGGGCACTCGAGAGTTTCCTCTTCTTTCCCCTAAATCTTACTCTTCCTCTCATTTTTTTTTTTTTTTCCATCTCAGAAAATGGCACCAACACTCATCCAGTGGCCCAGCTCCTGTAACAGCCCCCGGGCCAGCCACGGTCAGGCCAGCATGAGGCTGCAGCACGGCCACTTCTCAGCAATTCTCAATCCCCCACTCCTTCTCCACTGCGACAGGACCAGCAGCGTCCCAGCTCCCCTGCCTGCCTATGGCAACTTGGCTCTAATCCCCTCCTCTCTGCACTCAGGAGCACAGTAAAATGCCAGTCTGAACACACTTAAAAATAAATAACATTGCCCTTAGGACAAACTCCAAGCGCCTTACTACATCCGCATGCCCACCCTCTGGCCCCTTTCCCCCTCCGTCTCCGTTGCAGAGATGGACTCCCTCGCGCCTCCTGCTCGGAAGGAAGGAAAATGAGTAGAAGTAAACGCAGGGCTGGAGATGGCTTGACTGGCTCGTAAGAACCCGCTGTTACATTTTCAAGAGATCTTATGAGCTGTTTTTTAAACATTTGGCAGCTTGAACCAGCCATGGTGGGAGTATGTACACCAGGAAATTGGCAAACACCACAAACCAGGGCTTTAGTTCAGCACCAACTCAACTCCCAGTTCTTCCCTCACTAGCCCCAAATTCAGCGAGGAATTGTGGGCTCACAGAATTGGAAAGGGTCTTGAATCAGCCCTTCTCGTGAGAATCCCATTTCACTCACTCACGCACACCATTCAGCCATTCAGCGGACACCGTCTGACCATCTCCCCAAGTCGGGCTCTGTGCCAGGCACTGGGCTGGCCTCAAGAGCTCCCAGTCCAAGGCACATGCTGCTCATGTATATGACAACGTGGTAAAACACTTTAACCAAGGGACGGCCAATGTTGGGGTGGGAGCCTGGAGGAGGTTACTTACTGAGGACATAAAGGAGGCCCTGCACTGTTTTTAACATGACTCAAGTGATTTAAACTTTCAGAATTTGTTCAGATTGCTTCTGTGGGCCAGCACATGAGCTTATAAATTAGGAATGATATTGGAGGCAAGTTACAGCAAACTCAATCAATGTTGGCTTAAACACACGAGACTTTTTTTTTTCTCACTTAGCAAGAAGCCCGGAGGTGGACAGTTGCTGGTGTTGGTTCCACAGCTTCATGAAGCCCTGGGGACCCTGGGCTCGCTCTTCTCCCTCCCATCTCTCGCTGCCTGCAGGGTGTTAGTGGGCTCCCACCCCCGCATCTGCGGGCCGAGGGCGGTCGGGGCAGCAGGAGCCCTCTGTCTCCTGTTACCAGGGGCTTTGGCTGCCGCTTTCACTGTCTGCTGGGTGCCCCTGGAGAGAGGCTGAGCTGCTTCCTCCCTGAGTCCCTGAGCCCAACCCCCAACCCCCGGCCAGGTACAGAGCAGCGAGTTTGCCTGAGCTAAGCAAACAATGCCACCCTATCATCAGAAGGCTGGCAGGGCAGCCGGCTCGTGGCCGCCTCTCCGCCTGAGGAGTGAGATATGCTGCCGTCCTCATCGGTAATCAGCTACCTAATGAGCTACATCGTCTGGCTGTCCAAGCTGCTACCTAGCAGCTGGCTGGGAGCCTGCAGAAGCCCCATTAACCTTTTCAGTTCTTGCAAAGAGCACATTTACCAAAGGATGAGGGATCTCGGGTCCAGATGGGCCAGCCCAGGACCAAGGCAGGAGCCTGAGAATCCATCACCCCGAGAGCCATGACAGCGCCATCCCCAAGTCTCATGAGCTCGCCTGGAGAAAGGGGCAGATGAGAGTAGACACCTAGAGTATCCAGCAGGTCTTAGTTGTCAACATCGGGATCCCTCTCTCGAATTTCATCAGAATGGGGCTGCTCAGGGGGTGCCTGAAGCCTTGTGAGATCTCCAGGAAACCAAGCTTGACTCTGCCCTTGTGGAAACAAAATCAGCTGAGAGAAACACACAAGCATGTGCCATGCAGGTGCTCAGACGCAGACCCAGAGACAAGGATTCCAGCAAGGGCACGTGGCTTATGTGGGAGGTGATTGCAGGACTGCAGGGAACGGGGAACAAGGCAGAGAGGAAGGGGCCAGCCCGGGGAGCTTCATCAAGCTGTCACTGCTTCCACAATGGCACTCCGTCCCAGGGCCTCTGGACCCGGGGTGCACACAGCTTGGAGCATGCTCCTAAGGGCTCACTGCTTAGAGCTGTTCCCAAGGGGACAGGATCTAATTCTCTGGCACTTTGACCTGCTGTGTGCACAAGAGCACCTCGGGGAGGCGTTGTGTGTGATGCCAATGGGATGTCAGGCCAGAGGGCAGCGAGGGCAAAGAGCGAGGGCACAGGCAGGGCCCCCAGCTGCCCTAAGGAGCCCCTCTGCTGCCGTCACTCTGCTCAGCACCTGGCACGCCAGGATGAGACTCTGTCTCCATGCTCACTGGAGGGTGGTGTTCCGACATTGCCTTTCTTTCCCCGCTCAGTCTTGCTCAGAAGCTTCTGCAGGGGTCACCCAGGCCCATGCGGGACCTTGGCCCCGGGACCTCTGGGGAACATTGCTTTAGCTTTCTGAGCTCTGTGGCATGAGAGAGCAGGAGGTGCTTGGAGTGGTCTCGAGTGAGGAGGCCTGTGGTATCTACTGCACCCACTCAGGGCCTTTGCACGCACTGTTCCCTCTACCTGAATCCTTTTCCCAGTCTTTATGTATCTGAGTTTCTCCTCGTCTTTCGGGTTCTGCTTGGATTTCAGCTTCTCAGAGAGGCTGTCACAGCCCTCTCTCTCATTCAACCTCTCTCTGTTACCATCTAGCACATCATCTGATTGCATTTTCTCCAGAATGATCTTGCTTGTTTCCACGTTTATTCTCCAACTCCTCTTCTAGACAGAAAGGTCTAGGAGATTCACAGCCTTACCTCCCTTGTTCATCGAGGTGTGCCCAGCATCTACGCCCATCCTCGGCATGCAGCGGGGCCTCAGGAAGTATTTGCTGGTGAGTCATTGATGAACCCATCTCTGGGGTTGCTGTGGATTTCTCATGGCAGTGTGCACAAAGGGCCTAGCAAAATGTCCAGCACCTAGTAGGTGCTCAACAAAATGGCAGCTCGGAAAAGGGTGATATTGGCATCATTTTCTTGTCTAGCGTCTCCATTTTCTGAATAAGGTGACTGCAGCCCAGAGAGTGTCGGGAACTTGTAGAAGGTCACACAGCACATCCCTGCAGAAGAGGAATCAAGAACCCTGGCGTATTCCACAACAGCCCCCTCCATTTCTACTTTACCTGTGGTAGCTCAGGTCCCTAGAGAGTCGGCTTCCAGGTTTTGAAATAATAGAAGGAAAAGTCATAGCTCTCCTATTCCTCAAGAAAAATTAATTCCACCGCCAGGCATTTGTCCCCCACGCTTCAGAATCTGGGGATCAAATCATGGCCCTGCTTTTGCTGCCGCCATGCTTCAATGTTTCAGAGGTGGATTCTCAGGTAAAATATTGTCATCCCAGTGGCCCTGGGCACAGCAGTGCCCCAAGTAATCTCCCTCGACACAATACAAATGGGATACAATGTCGTCCATTCTGGTTTTAAATGAGAAAGTTGGAAAAACAAAATGCAGAGGTAGGAAGCGGTTCTGATTACAAGGAGCTGAAAGTAATTGCCTTCCGGCAGAAAGCCGGGTGCACCTCCGCCGACGTGGGGGGGCCGCCTGCCCACCCCCGATCCATCATCCCATCGTGCGGACTTTGAATATTAAGTAAAGTTTTATTTATGGTTCTTCTTGCGGGCTTATGACTCTCAAGTGAGGCAGGGATAATAACAAACCCTCTCACACAAAAGTTAGGCTATAAAAAAATAATTAAGGAAAATGTTCCCCGCAGTACAGGCAGCTGAGAAGCTGAGTCCTTCTGCAAACAGACTCTGCCGTGGCCTTCATAATGAAAGCAAATTGCTTCTGCGTTGGAAGTGGCAGGCGTGTGGGGAGTGGGAAGTCGAGCCGGCTTCTCCCCTTCTAGCTGCCCCAGTGGAGATGGTCCCTGGGGGAGGTCACAGAGCCGGCATCCCTGAAAAGAAGCCCACCCTCAGTCCACCCCCGGATGAGCAAGCCCCAAGAATGCCAGGAAGCAGCAGAGTTTTTTTGGGGGGGGGGGTTTGTTTGTTTTTTGTTTTGTTTTGTTTTGTTTTGCAGAAAGTGAACAGTGCACTTGTAGCAGGAGGCAATAGAACGAGAGGCTGTTTGTCAGGGAATGTCGGCCTGTTCAACTGGCCCCAATTTACCAGGTGGGGAAACTGAGTCTGGGTAGATAAGAAGGATCAGGTTGATTCCAAGTAGCCCAAGAGCAAGCCCAGGATGCCAGGCATGGGGTGGGCCCCGGAGAGGCAGATTTTGGCTGGAGACCAAAGGCTGGTGTTTTAACACTGCCAAGGTGGCCAGAGGCTTGCCACCATCCCTGGAAGAGCCACATTCTGGGTTCCAGGTGAGTGGCCCTTACCACTGTGACCATCACCACTTCCAGGGCTCTGCTGTGTGCCAGGCACCACGCTGAGTGTTTTATCCATGTTATTATGACCCATCCTCACAACAACACTGTAGGCTCATCACTGTCCCCATGTTGCAGATGGGGAAACTGAGGCTGCAGGGTTGCTCTGCATATGCAGAGAGGTAAGGAACTTCTTGTTCTCTGGGCAAGGAGTAGTGGCTTAGACAGGCAGCCAGCGGCCGTTTCTCTAAGTGGAGGTGCATTTTTTGCCTCACTTTTCCCCTTTTCTTGTCTTAGTCTTCTGTCATCAGCCAGGAGCCCTGTGTGGACGTTCACTTCAGCAACTTCATGTACTAAATGGTATGGAGCATATATTTCTGTGTTTGGAGCACATGAATTCAAGCAATAAATATTCGCCAAAGGACAGCTCCGTGCATGGCAGGAGGGACGCCGCGGGAGCAGGAGAGACACAGCAGGCCCCGAGAACGGAGTGGGAGCAGACGTGGCATAGCGTCCCCGTCAGGTAGACAGTGTGTGCAAAGGTCCTGAGGTGGAAGGAGTATTTCCCCCCAGTTGTTCTTCTGTCACTGTGTGTCAGGCAGCATTGAGCATTCTGTTTCTGGAAGAGGGTCTGTGTCTGTGTGTGTGTGTTGGAGCGGGGGGTGGGGGGCAGTTTGCATGTTCACGTATTCAACTGATACTGGTATCAGCACTGTGTTCCGTAGGAGGACACGGGCGTAAGAGCTAAGTGCTCTCAGCCCTCTGGAATCATAGCTCTTATCAGGCTTAAAAGTGCTCAAGGAGCCTCCTAAGAAGAGCCCCAGCTCCCAGAGTTCCAGGACTGTGGGCCGTGCCTTCCTCCTCACCTCAC